GGGAGAGGCCTGAGAGGAAAACCCGCGATAACTGAGATGCGGGGGACGGAGATGTCCTACGGAAGAGACAGACGGATGGAGAGAGACAAAGGCCAAAGGGAGAGATAGTGTCAGAGAGCGCGCGGCCGAGCGCGGGCTCGCGCGGGACACGGACAGGCTCGCGGGCACGCGCATCTGAGCGGCCTGGCGCACGGACACGCTCAGTGCGCGCGCACCGCGAGCGATTGAAGGCGGGGGTGGGGGGGTGAGGGGGGAAGCTCACTGTCTTCTCACTCCCAGCCCTTTATTGAAGGCGAGGTGCTGGGTGGGTGGGTGGGGAGAAGGTGAGGAAGGGCCGCCTCAGAATACTGTCTTCCTTGGTGTTCCCTGAGTCCTTTTCTTCCTAAAATCGTCCCTTGAGACATTTTCCCCCCAGTGAGTAATAACTGGGAAGTCCTTCCTGAGCGGTCTAACTTCAGTCCTCATTTGAGGAAGCCTTCAATGAACATGAAAAGTGAGCCCTTTTACAAGCTTCAGAACCTTAGAAGGGGGCACTTTGGGGATCAACCAGTCACTTGATCCTAGTTGGAGCTAGGCAGGCCTGCCCAAAGTGGGTAGTCAGCCTGGTGTGCTGGCGATCAGATCAGTTAGACTTTGCCTTCTGAGAATCAGGGTCCTATCCATTTACTAGCCCTTCGACCTGGGACACATGAACTGGTGTATCACTTTTCTCACTTGTGAAGAGATGATAGCAGACCCTTCGTGGGAATTTTGTGTTACCTGAAATAATCTAGTTGCAGACTTTGGAACCTGACCAGGCTTGTGGGAAGAGTGAGCCCTGCCCTCTTCCCCTTGGCTTTGTACCTTTTGCAAAACCTGAGGACAAGAGTGGTCTTCAAAGAGCTGTTCCTTGATTGATTTTGGTCTGTCATGGGGCTTGAATTCTGGGCCTGGGCGCTGTCCCTCAGCTCTTCAGCTCAGGGCAAGTGCTCTACCACTTAAGCCACAGTTTCACTTCCAATTTTCTGGTGGTTTATTGGACATAAGAGTCCCATAGACGTTCCTGCCCTATCTGGCTTTGAACCATGACCCTCAGAACTCAGCCTCCTGAACAGCTAGGACTATAGGGGTGAGCCACTGGTGCTTGGTGAGCTATTCCTTTATCTGGAGTGAATTTTCAGAGTCTTGTGCCAGTGCCGGGTCTCGAACTCAGAATCTCGAGCTCTTGTGTAGCTTTTTTTTTTTTTTTTTTTTTGCTCAAGGCTCTACCCCTTGAGTTACACTTCCACTTCCAGTTTTTTTGCTGACTGATTGGAGATAAAGATCCCCAGATCTCAGTCTCCTAAGCAGCTATGATTATGGGCACTGGGCCATCTGAGCCCAGTTCAGGTTATGGTTTCTGTCATAGGAGGCCACCTAAACATATATGCACTGGTTTAAGAGGCAGGATTCTTGGGGCCCAGAAACATGCTATATATAAGGGTATCCATCTATTCACTCTCTGTGCACATTTGATTCTCTCCAGACTCTTCTCCGTTCTCAGTCCAGATGTTGGGGGGTTAGGAAGGGCAAGCAGCCTTAAAGCTTTCACATTCCACCCCATCCCCACTCACCAGACAATTAGTACTTCATGAAAATAGAGATCTGTGCTTCACTTTTTCCCCCTAAGCTTTGGGGATGAGGGACAGTGCAGATCCCTGAGTTTCCATCCAGCTGGTCAGGACCTCTGGTCCTGCAGGCCCTTCCTGTCCATCTGGGAAGTCAGAAAGTTAAAAAATATATATATAATTCTCACAAGTATGGAAAATTAAATAGCAGACATCTCTGGTCCTTTTCCTGTGTTCTCTTTGTAGGAACCACTACTGGGAGGGTTTCTGGTGTATCTTTTTAGATTTGACCTTTGTAGGAGCTTTCACAAAATTATATACTTTATGTATTTTATTTTGACATTATGGTAACATGTAGTACATATAATTTTACTATTTTTATATTGAAATTTTTATTTGTAAGATTCCTTTAGGAAAATGTATGTCAAATCTCTTCCTTGCTTATAACAGCATATTTTTGTCATAGAAAGATGAGAGACCATGAGAAACCCAAGAAAACACTCAGAGAAGTTGGAGTAACTGGGGTTTATTTTATGCTGGTGGTCCCAGAGGAATCCCCTTGAGAGTCTGAGCACCAACTAGAGGTTTGTACAGGGTATTTGTAAACAAGAGTAGGTGGGGTGGGAGACATAGGTATCGAGTAAGTGTCTGCCAGGGGCAGGTGCAGGAAAGTGGACATTTTCAAGAACTTACAGATGTGTGACAGTTCCTCAGAAATTGCAGGGTGTATAGGAAATGGCCAAGTTCATTCCAGTTACCACAATGGCTGGTTAGATTGTCACCAGAATGTTCCCTGACAGGGAGGGGATCCTGGCTTATTTCAGGTTTCTAGGCCTGAAGTCAGCCATGCCAGGTGCCTTGACTTTTCTTCTACCACATAAATTTTCTAACCTTTATATTGCAGTATTTAATGATTATACTTTACTTTAAAACAGTTCCGTAGGGAGCAACCTAGATCAAATATTTGTGTTTAAAAAAATTTTAGCTTATTTAGATAATTTTTTCTCCTAAATATTTGCACAATTGTTCTGTCATTGATTTTGTGTGTAAAATTATAACAACCCCCTCATTTTATAATTTTTTCATACTTAATGTTACTAGACATTTAAAATTTTGTTAACTGGATAGTAATAAGGTTCATATATCTTTTAATTTCTTTTTCTTGATTACTGCAAAAGTAGTTGTTTTATATGTTCATTGGATATTCCTATGTATTCTTATTTGGCTTTTATATTTTGAATTGTTTTTATTTTGGACTTTAAAATTTATTTGAATTAATGCCTTAATTTCTAACATTTTCTTTGCTATATGATTTTCCAGTTTATCATAGTTTCTGTCTTATTTTACATAGTTTAGTAGAACACACATGTTCAGGTTAATTTTTCCTTTACCTTAATAATTCTCTTGGATTTTGAATAATCAGTTTTAGTGGTTTTGCATTTTTAATTTTTACGTTTATCACAGGTCTCTTGGATAGCATATTTTTCTAATAGTTTTTAAATTCATTGTCTCACATTGTTTATAACTTTCTTTTAATCAATTTTTAATTATGTATGCTTTATAATCTTTCCAGTTACTATCTTTATTAGTTTCTTGTTGTTGCTATAAATTATTAAGAAGTTGGTGATTTAAAACAACAAAATTTTAGGGCTGGGAAGGTGGCTCAGTGGTAGAGTGCTTGCCTTGCATGCACGAGGCCCTGGGTTCGATTCCTCAGCACCACATAAGAAAAAAAAGCCGGAAGTGGCGCTGTGGCTCAAGTGGTAGAGTGCTATCCTTGAGCTGAAGAGCTGAGGGGCAGTGCCCAGGCCCAGAGTTCAGGCCCCACAACCGGACCGCCCCCCCAAAAAAACAAAAAAAAAACAACAACAAAATTTTATTCTCTCATTTTTGTCAAAGTGATGAATCCAAAATCAGTTTACGTGATTCTAATCGAGGGGGCTAATAAATTGCCTTCATCCTGATGGTTATACAGAGTGTCTATTTTCTGCCTTTCCAGCACTTAGCAGCTGCCTCACTTCCATAGCTTATTACTGTTTTCTTGTAGCTGCATTGTTCCACTCTTATAAGAACTTGTGTGATTGATTTGAGTCCACTGGGTAATCCAGGCTAATTTCATTTGAAGATCTTTAATCACATCTACAAGGCTTCTTTCTTGCTTTCTTGCTTTCGTTCTTGCTTGTTGTTGGTTGTGGGACTTGAACTCTGGGCCTGGGCACTGTTCCTCAGCTATTCAGCTCAAGGCTAGCACTCCACCACTTGAGCCGCAGCACCTTTTCTGGTTTTCTCAGTGGTTTATTGGAGCTAAGGGTCTCACAAGCTTTCATGCCCATGCTGGCTTTGAACCATGATCCTCAGATCTCAGCCTCCTGAGTAGCTAGGATTACAGATGTCAGTCACCAGTGCTCGGCTCCAGGAGTTTTTTGTTTTGCCATAAACTATTTTCTTGAAATTTCCCCTCCTAAAAGTCCTAATATATAGTAGTTTAAAATAAAGAAGTATTTGGAATCAGTGTTACAGATGTTACCAGTCAACATAAAGTCATGCTGGAATAAGTGTCTCCTACTACAGTATGAGTATTGTTCTTACCTAAACAATGTCATTTTAGAAAGGGACACATACTGAAGGAGAAGATGGGGAGAAGACCTAGAGAGGCAATGTCTTTCTACAAGACTTAGACCACCAGAGCTAGGAGAGATGTCAGAACAGATCTTCCCTAGAGGATTTGGAGGGCCATAGACCTTCTTAGGACTTGAGTTTGGACATCACTGTTAGGATTAAACGAAAACAGATTTCTGTTGTTCTAAGTCACCATTCTGGGACACTTCTTTATGGCAGCCTTAGGAAACTAAAACACCATATAAGGTAACATGGTCACAGGTTTGGAGATTATAATTTAGACTTTTAAATGAATCATTATTTAGTCTTATTTAGCCTTAATTCAACTATTCAGATTCACCAAATATTGTTTATTTGTTAAAACATACTCAGAATTTTTCTTCTATTGTCTTCTTGTTGTTTCTTATTTCATTAATTACTGAACCTATCTTTATTTTTATTAATGTATAACATTTACACTAAAATAAACATGTAATAAGTATACAGATAGGGAAACTTTGATATTTCCAAGCAGTCTTGCAAACTACACCTTATGCAAGAATGGAATATTTCTATTATCTGCTGTCAGGATCCTTTCGTTCCAAACCAAACTCCACACTCAGCGATGTAACCCCCTTTCTGCTTTATTTCATCATGGATTAGTTTGGCAACTTCAAAATCTCTCATTAATGGAAGCAAACAGTGCATATGCTTTTGTCTCAGATAATTTTTAAGGGTAATGTTATTATGGTTTATTCATTTTTTTCAAATGTTGGTGATTCAGTCCATTAAAAAAATTTTAAGGTCACTTCTGTCAGTTCGGAGCGAGCAAGCTCGAGCCTGTCGGTGTGCCGGAGCAGAGCAATGTCTAAATCAAAGGAACTTGTTTTTTCAAGCTCTTCTGGTAGTGATTCTGACAGTGAAGTGGACAAAAAGTTAAAGAGGAAAAAGCAAGTTACTACAGAAAAGCCTATAAAAAAGCAAAAGACAGGTGAGACTTCCAGAGCTCTGGCATCTTCTAAGCAGAGCAGCAGCAGTAGAGATGATAACATGTTTCAGATTGGGAAAATGAGATACGTAAGTGTTCGGGACTTTAAAGGAAAAGTTCTAATTGATATTAGAGAATATTGGATGGATCCAGAAGGTTAAATGAAGCCAGGAAGAAAGGTATTTCTTTAAATCAGGAGCAATGGAAGCAGCTGAAGGAACAGATTTCAGATATTGATGATGCAGTAAGAAAACTGTAAAATCTGAGTCATATAAAACGGGTACTGTTCTACTTGTTTAAATCTGTTTGTTTGTTTTTTTTACATTGGCTTTGTTTTTTAAAATGTTTTCCAAGCTATTGTATATTTGGATTGCAGAACAATTTGTAAGATGAATACTTTTTTAATGTGCGTTATTAAAAATGTTCTGAGTGAAATGAACCTACAGACCTATAGCCAACTAATCTTCGATAAGGGAGCTAAAATAATAGAATGGAAGAAAGACAGCCTCTTCAGTAAATGGTGCTGGCAAAATTGGTTAACTACTTGTAGAAAACTAAAGCTAGATCCTTATATATCACCCTGCACCAGAATCAACTCCAAATGGATCAAAGACCTCGGAGTCAAAGCAGACACTCTGAAAACATTACAGGATGGAATGGGAGAAACCCTAGGCCTCCTTGGCTCAGGCCGAAATTTTCTTAATAGAGACCCGGAAACACAACAAATCAAAGAAAGGTTGGACAAATGGGATTGCATGAAGTTGCAGAGCTTCTGCATGGCAAAGGACATAGCTAGCAAGATCAATAGAAAGCCCACGGATTGGGAGAAGATCTTCACTAGCCATACAACGCACAAGGGTCTCATATCTAAAATATACTTGGAACTCAAAAAATTAAATCCCCCAACAACAAATCCTCAAAGAAACAACTGCCCAATAAATAAGTGGGCTAAAGACTTGAAGAGAAACCTTTCTGAAGAAGAAAAAAGGATGGCCAATAGACACATGAAGAAATGTTCAACATCCCTAGCCATAAAAGAAATGCAAATCAAAACAACATTGAGATATCACCTCACTCCAGTTAGAATGGCTATACCCAAGAATTCTAACAACAACAGATGCTGGAGGGGATGTGGACAGAAGGGAACCTTACTTCATTGTTGGTGGGAGTGTAAACTTGTTCAACCATTTTGGAAATCAGTATGGAGGTTCCTAAAAAGACTTCACATAGAGCTTCCCTATGACCCAGCAATCCCACTTTTGGGCATTTACCCAAATGTTCACAAACAAGATCACACTAAAGCTACCAGCACAACTATGTTTATTGCAGCATTATTTACCATAGCTAAGATCTGGAGCCAACCCAGATGCCCCTCAGTAGATGAATGGATCAAGAAAATGTGGTATATATACACAATGGAATTCTATGCCTCCATCAGAAAGAATGACATTGCCCCATTTGTTAGGAAATGGAAAGGCTTGGAAAAAATTACATTAAGTGAAGTAAGCCAAGCCCAAAGAAACATAGGTCCCATGGTTTCCCTTATTTGCAATATCTAGTATATGTATGAGTCAAGCAGGAAAGGTCAGATAATGTGATGTTAGGAAAATGAACCCTTAGATATGTATTTGAATGTTTTTTTTCTTTCACTCATTTGTTTCTAACTCATTTATAAGATTATTTCTTTGTAGCTTTGTATGTCCCTCCTCCACAGTATAACCCTTGCTTTCACTATATTTGATGTTGGTATAATTTGTGGAGGAGATGGGGAAAAACAAGTCGTTTAAGGATACAGGTGGACCCGATGCAACTATGAGAAGTACAAGTTGTCATGTCAAAACGAACTTTACAACTTTGGTGCGGGGAGGGGGGGTTGGGAGGGATTGGGTGGGGGTTTGGGGGGAGGCTGGGAAGGGATGTGAAGGGTAAACAAAGGAGGAGGCTGCAATGCTTGATAAGAAATGTACTCATTATCTTGCTCATGTAATTGTAACCCCTCTGTACAGTATGTTCACAAAAAATAAAAATTAAAATTAAAAAAAGAATATACCATAATTTATTTATCATTCCACTAGTTAATGGGTTGTTTTGTTTCTTGAGTTGTCTGGTTAATTCCTAAGTTGGTGCTATCAGGGACAAAAATTGTGCAAACAACAGCCATTCTGTGGATTTTTGTATTCTTTTAAAATAAACCCTAGGAGTAAAATTACTGATTAGACATCAAGACTAATTTGTAAAAACCTGCCTATGACTTTCTAGTAAGATTCTACAAACTTGCATTCCACCAGCAATGCACAAAATTCCCAGTTGCCCACAACTGATTAAGTGTTAACATCTCCAATACTTTAACTCTTGTGAAAAAAGAAATGTGCTGCTAGTTGGTCCTTCATCAAAATTCTTTACTGTTACCTGCATAATTTCCCTATCAGGCTAGCACAGTAGTGAGTTTCTATGTTACTTCTTTGCCTATTTGAACAGATGAAAGCTAATGTGCACCTGCACCCATCTAAGTTCTTTAAGCAGGGCTGCTGCAGCCTCAGCTGTAGGTTTATGTACAGGCACAGATGCCTAGAGAGCACTGTGTGCTTGCTGCACAGAAGTAGGTGGCTGAGTCTCCAGGTTGAGAAGCTCTGATATTCAAGGAAAGGCTTTTGTCACTTTTACTGAAGATGATTTTGAATCTTCCATCTTCTGTTTCCTTGGAAACTGAAAATGTGGCTATCAATAATTCAGGGCCTTTACCAAGAAATTGTCGGTACCATAGGAAGTAGTCAAAAGCACTGTTTTCATAAGTACAGTTCAGAATGGAAATCCCTCCTTCCTGGACCGTAATGGAATGAGGACTTTGTTTCACCTGCTGCTCCTTACTTTGCTCCTTCTGTTGGCCATTCACCCCTGCTTAAAAAGATAACAAATGTCATTAGACTCTCAAGTGTGTATTTCCTTTATGCCCTTCCTTTCTACATAGTAGTATCTATATATCCCAGATTCTGGGGTTTCTCCTCCATAACTCACAGGCAAAGTGAAGGCCTAAGATTAGATATGCTGCTCCTAGCATATCTCAGCCAGAGTTCAATGAGAGCTCAGCTGGCCTTCTGTCTCCCCACAGATGGAACTCTGACTGTGAGCTCACACCCACTTCAAGTCCTTCAACAGGCTCCACCCCATCCACACGTATTTTCTCTTAAAGGTACTCTTGACAAAGAAAGTGCAATTTTTTTTATGTCCCAATTTAGAATTTCTGAGATACAGACACTGAGAAACACAAGTATCCTCTTCATACATGTACAAAAATCAGTTTAAGAAGTTATCTCAGCTATTTAATCCCTTTTTAACCTTTAACCTTTCCTCATGCCTCTCTGAAATTGTTAAAAATCATATATGGGAGAGGTAGTTGTGCTATTGTAGATCACTTTCCTTACAATGGTGAAGAAGGGAATCTCATGAAACAATCAGCATCGCATGATCTGGTGCATTCTGTTTTCACTAAAACTATTAAGGACACAGAGTGAGCATAATAGCAGGTTGTATATTAAGGACACAGAGTGAGCATGATATCTGGCTGTATATTAAGGACACAGAGTGAGCATGATATCAGGCTGTATATTAAGGATCAGAACATACAGAGCATGTAGTTCCTTTGCTTTCAGGGAACTTAAACTTTTTTTTTTTTTGTCAGTCATGGGCCTAAACTCTGGGCCTGGGCGCTGTCCCTCAGCTCTTCAGCTCAAGGCTAGTGCTCTACCACACTTGAGTGATAGCACCACTTCTGACTTTTTCTGCTTATGTGGTGCTGAGGAATCAAACCCAGGGCCTCATGCATGCAAAGCAAGCACTCTACCACTGAGCCACCTTCCCAGCCCAGGGAACTTAAACTTTATTGTAAAGTTTCAAATATGTTTCCATTTTTACATGACTCTAAGACATGATCAAATTAATCAAATCCATATTGATTTCTTCACTTTTCTTACAAAAATTTGATAAGTTAACTATTTCTAAGGATAACATAATGAAACCTATTCAGTCATTATGATGGCTACAAAGTAACAAATAGGTAGTTTGACACACAACAAGGATCCACCTAACGTGGTGATCGCTGGTGTCTTGGATGGAATGGAGGAGTGGGTAGCAGGAGATTTTATCATGTTGCTAAAATGGTGTACATTGATGCATATAAATTATTTACTGCTTACTTTTTATTTAATGTTATCAGATTATGATTGTCTACAGAGTCCTGATACAGTAGACAATGAAAGTGAGGATGAGGAAGAAGTGCTGTATATTTACCAAATGCCTCCTGGGTGGGCAGCATGTGCATCTTGTTAACAAAAGTACAACTCTAGTCTACAGTCACCTGAGTCTCAGTACTAAAAGACAGCAAAATAAAATGACCAGACAGATCTGTGTGTCCAGACCAATGACAAAAGAAAGGGAATTTAACTCTGCCATAGGTGCCAGAGAGGAATTCTATGGGGCAAATACTTGCACCAATCTTTAAACTGTGAGTAAAAATTTCCCAGTGGACAGGAAGAATAATAGGATTGTACAAAAAGTTGTATCACTGAGGCTGGAGATGGGCCATGTATGAGAGAAATCATAATAAACTAATACTAGAAATGTTAAATTCACTCTGGACTTGAAGGGTAACACCTGTCTTCATAGAAGAATTTCCTTTCAATGTTATATTTTCAATCCTGTGAGCTGAGGATATACACATACTTTTAAAGCAGACACATCTTAGAGAAATACTTGATCTCTAAGTAAGTTGAAACAGTAGGACCAAATAATTTACTAAGCGTTAAAGGATAATCTCATGTGAGTTGACAGATGTAAGAGGGTACGTTTGATCTCTGAGACAATATTGCCTCTTTGTGGTCATATAGGGAGGATACACTGAACAGTTCCCACAGCCTTATCAAAGTATGTGTTTGCCGATTCTGCACTCATCAGAACACTGAGGAAAATGGCCAGTGAGTGAGTCTTCTGTGGCCAGTCATTACTTCAGATGGAGGGAGACTGCCAATGGTGCCCAGGTGGATCTGGAGTAGTGGGTTGGAAGATTGGGGTAAAGGAAAGAAGACCAAGGCTACAGAAAGTGACATATACACCTCACCTGCCCTGAGGTCACTTCAGGGCAGATGTTGGTCCTGAGGGTACGACACTGCATGGGCTCCTATCAACACTGGATCTGAATATGCCCAGAACACTGAAGAGAACATGTCCTTAAGTAGACTTTAGATAGTGTGGATTTTTGTTAACTTGATATAGCCATTTTTTTATTTTTGGCCAACATGATAGTTTCATGCTTGCATATTATTGTTTATTTGTGTTTCTTGGTGAATAATGATGATGAGTAGGATCAAAATTTTTTTCAATGAAAGGTTAAATAGTAAATATACTAGCTTTGAGAATCATTCTGTCTCTATTGAACTACTCAGCTCTGCCTGGATGTGGCGCATGCTTCATATCTTGACTAATGATGGAGAATGTCTTTGCATCAGTGTATTGGTCATTCTTGTGTCTTTTATGAAGAATCTGCTCAATAATTGTGATCATTTTAAAATTTGTTCTCTTATTGAGTTAAAAGGTGTCTACATATGCTCCATACAAAAATTGTTTCAATAATTTATGTGTTTCAAAGAATTTATCCTATTTGCTAGCTTGTCTTTTTATTTCCTAAAGATAACCAAAAAATTTGAAGCAATGCTGAAAAAATTTAAAGAAAGGTTAACAAACAGGAACATAAAAATACTCATGTGTTAGACTCATTAGATTTAAGTTCCACAAGTTCTTCCACAAATTCAATGTAGTACTGTTCACATGACGAGCAGATTTGTTTTTATATACACAGATAAAGTGATTCAATCTTCATGAAAAAAAAAGCAATGACTCACCAAAGTACACTTTAAAAATTACAATATTGGGAACTTATCCTACCAAGATCTATTATAGAGAACAGTAAAACATGATTTAGGTGAAAATGAAACACACAGACTAATGTAGTTATTGTATCAGTGTGAAAAATATTAGAGGAATGGGTTCACACATACATATTCAGTTAATTTTCAGTTTAGAAGAAAACTATGTCAATGCAAAATACAACTTTTTAAAAGTTATGTTTTACTATTGCTAATTAGCTGTATGGAGGGATTTCACTTCAGCATGTCAGTTTTTGAGTGTAATACATCTTGGTTATTGTCACCCTTTTGTCTCCCCATCTCTCCAACCCTGCCCATCCCCCAAAACTTTCTAGTTCCATTTTCACATATTTGTTGAATATTATGACTGAATCAGCCACCCTTCCACTCTCCATTTATCTGCCTCCACCCCTGTACTACCCCACCCTTGGACACAAGTCCCAGCTTCCTGGTATTTAATTTGTCAAACTGTTAGTTCTTCAAAGGAGTTACACCATCAGAATCTCCTTTTATATATACTATACTTTAGTTGATATGCTTGTGCATATATGCATATGCCCTTAGATATGTTTACTAACGCATTTATCATTTAGATCTAACTTCCACATAAGAGAGAAATCATATTTCCTTTGCCATTTTAACTTTGACTTATTTAATATTTTTTAGAAAAATGTATTAAAGTAATAGTATGACCATCTGTATTTATCTTCTGAAAATGACTTTTATTGTTAATATCTGTGTCTTTATTCTTAGTTTGGTATTTTTTAAGAAAGCTTCCAGGGAAAAGACTAAACCTTTTTTGAGGAAATTTTGAATAATTCAAGCTTACAAATAACTGCTCTTATTTAACATGTTCTAGGCTCCTGAGTTTAAGTGGAATATGTAAAGTTAGAAATACAAAATCATTGAGTTTTTTTTCTTTTTGTATTGTAAATTCTGTGGTGAGCTGGTTATCTCCAGGTCACATTTTTTCTGTTAGTCAGCTTTCAGGAACAGTTAGTCAGCTTTCACAGCAACAGGAAGAAAAGTTATTTGGACCGTCATTTTTGTAGGTTTCAGTCCATCATAGATGAGACTCATTCATTTGGGGTTTGTGGGAGGCAGTACATTGTGTTAAGAATACGTGGCCGAGGAACCTGCTTATCCTGTAGTGTCCAGGAACCAAAGAGACAAAGAGTGCAGGCTCCCCAGATCCTCTTTGAGGGCACGTCTCAATGAACAAGGCTTCCCACTAGGCCCTTCTTCCTGGAATCTCCAAGCTGGGGACTGAAGCTTTAAAATATGGGCCTTTGGAGAATATTTCAGATCCAAACCAAACAGACAGAAGTAAGAGGATGGGAAATAGATGATGTATGTAGAACCTTAAGACAGATGGAATTGCCATACAATTTTTTTATAAAATAGACTTTAAAAAACAACCCAAAAGGCTATTAGTGACAAGAGGGACTGTTTTCAATCATTAAAAACTCAATCCTTTAGGAAAATGCATACATAAATAATAGGCATATATACAATATATATGTATATATATATGTGTGCATATATATATGCCTAACAAGAGACATCAAAATATAGAGGCAAAGCTGATAAAATTACAGGGAGAAACATATTCAATAGTAAGAGTTGGGGACTTTAGGATGTTGCATTCAATAATAGACCTGCTGGAATCCCTCCTAGCAACCTTCCCCTCAAATTCACTGCTTTTGAAAAATCCCTTAACCTGACATGCTTGCTAGCCCTGCAGGCATCTAATCACTGATTACCACAGCTATCAGTGGGAACTAAGTGAGGGATGGCCTGTGCTGCTGGGGTAGATGGTGAGGATGTGTGAATGTGCTGCACATGCCTAACTGAGTTGCATTACCATCAAGTTTTTTATATGAATGACTTTCTTTTCATGCATTTTATTCCTTGCCCTTGCAGAATCTAGCATGTTGTAGTTACTTTATTTTGATGCCATTTTCTATCAGCCACTCAGTTAATGTGAAGGTAGATACTTGTAGTGCAGGATGAGGTATAGACTGAGGAGGAAAGACAAAGTCTCAAATGTATGGGGCCAACAAAACCCTGTGAGTGAAACTTTGCCCATGTGGGAAAGAGACATGGAGCTGTGCAAATGTGCTGTGGTGGCCTTGTGATGTGTGTGGCTGTGGAGAGGCTGCGCCAGGCTAAGGGTTTGTGTAGGGGCTGCAGGTGCCTGGGGAGTACTGTGTCTCTCACAGCACAGAAGTAAGTGGCAGAGTCTGTGCTCTGGGCAGAGGAGACATACAGCAAGGTGCGGCGTTCCTTGTTGATGGTTGTTGCTGTGAGTCTCCCATTGTGCTTTGTTCCTGAAGCAATGTAAAACAGGTTGATGAGGTGTCCTCTTGGATATTGGCAAAACCACTGCACATTGTTCACAGCATTAGAAAAGTTGCATTGCAGCGTGGCGTTTTCTCCCTCCTGGAGAAGCAAGGCTGGAGGACTCTGCTCCACCTGAATTCCTCTCACATCTGAGTAAAACAGAGAAATAATCATTGGTGTGATTATCGTTACCACAACTGCAAAGCTCTGAAAGTGCTCCCATAGATTATGAGAGGACAGAAGTCTGCGAGACTTGCAAGCACATCTTTCTCTCTTCCCTCCATATGCTACAGCTGAGAAATCCTCTCAGCTGCCGGATTGTGGGACAGCCCAACTCACAGCAAATATGGGTGCACAAAAGTCCCAATAGAGAGCCCCAAAGCCCCTTCATGCTCCTTATCTGTTTATGAGACATGAATGTATGTCACCCAACCCTGGGCCCTGGGTGTCACAATACATCTGCAACTGTTCCAGCTCCTGTAGCCAATCGGCTGAGTTCCTTCACAGCCCCTGTGTAAGAAGTCCTTCCTCCCCACCTAGCTGAGGGTTTCTATGGGGGGTGGGGTGGGGTCGGTGGGGTGGGAGAGCATGGAGGTGGAGAGGGTGATTCAGTATCTTCTCAGGACATTGAAAGGGCTGTTAGGAAGAAACAATCTTGAAAATCGACATTTTTCTCACTTCTGGGATGATTTCTGATACCGTCTAAAAAAAGTTTAGTCAAAACTCAAACTGTAGAGAAGGAAAGTAATTGTGGATTCATGACCATAGAGAAACCATGTTCTTTGTAACCAATATTGCCATCTGGTGGCTTAACAAAGAAATAGGCTAGGCACAATTTCAGTGAATTTTAATACATCCTTTCTGCTCTTCCAGGGTTGAATGTTAAACTTTACATTCATAGAAAGGAAGAGGGAGGACTAAAGTTATCAAATGCATTTTTAACAAAATAAGAAAGCAAAATTATTAGTTAAAAATGGACACCAAATGATTTTTAAAGTGTAAAGTTAACTGACAATAACATTTAACAACGACAACAAAAACGATACCACAAACAGAATTCACAAAATTACATAACATTTTGATACTTATATTCTTGTAATTTTTATTTCTGTATTTTTTGACTCTATTCTTTAACTGGCTCTCTTTAAGAGATTGCATTTGTGATAGGGAAAAGACAGGTGTTGCTGTGTTTCCTCCTAGCATTGTCACTCAGGCTTTGAACTTTGTGGTTTATTAGAAAGATGATGTGAAAACTTTTAGGAATATAAACAAATTAAAGAAATGGAAGAAGTACAATGGATCCTGAAATGTAGTGAGAAGTCTATCAAAAGATTTCACTACATTTCAGGATCCATTGTACTTCCTTCTATTTCTTTTTCTCAGAATGTAACAAATCCTACATATTGTGAAGAATTATTAATCACTTTTCTGTATTGTGTTAGTTCCCCTTGCTGTGTAATACATGACCACAAACTCTGAACACCGTGATCTATCACACAAGGCTGCAATCAGAGCTAACTAAGGTCCATGTCCTGAGATCCCATGGTTGTTGGCAGAATACAGTTTCTATGCAGGTCTGGGGCTTGAATCAGGGCCTGGGTACTGTCCCTGAGCTTGTTTTGCTTAAGCCTAGCACTCTACCACTTGAGTCAGCTCCACTTCTGAGAACCTACTTTCTTCCAGCTGTAGCACTTATGGCATCTACCATTCTCTACTAGGATCCGCTTTCTGATCTCAGAAAAAGCAAGAACTATACTTGAAAGACCCCAGGAAAATAGATGACATCCACCTCATCTATTTTTGATGAACCTCATCTTCCTTGTGATGAACGTAAAGTCAAACTGAATAGGGATTTTATTAACATTATTCACCTTTGCTATGAAATGTAACCTAATCATGGGAGTAGCATCTGTCATGTTTCAGGTGCTATCAAAACAAAATGGAAGTGTACAACATGCAGCACAAATCTTGGGAACCAACTTTGAATCTTGCTGCAGCTGTCAGTGTTCCAATTCTATCTATGTTAAGTACATAGATAATTTTACACAAACACTGTCAAATTGTTTCCCAGATTGCTAAGCTTTTTACATTTCAACAATATCACTATTAAAGAAATGTACTCATTATCTTGCCCATGTAATTGTAATGCCTCTGTACAGTATTTTCACAATAAAAAATAAATAAAAATTAAAAAAAGAAATTAATTTCTATGCATTCTTGATAGTATTTGCTGTTATTAGTCTTAATTTTAATAATTCCAATAAGTGTGTAACCTAGGTGGTTACAATTTGCATCTAATAACAAATAAATTTATATATCTTTGATTTTTCTTCATCAAAATTGAGGATCATACTTTATTTACTTTTTTTCTCTGAAATCCTTTTATATCTTCAGGTTGGATCTTAATTTTTGTTTCATTCTTGATATGAATTTGTTATTCTTTTTGTTTTGCTCACAGTTTGTAAATTTTAGTGATGATTTTAAAGTTTCAGCTCTCTATTTCATTGTGTTTACTCTATTTCTATTTTCATTGTCATTGATATCTATTTTGTTTTATTATTTCTTTTCTTAAGTTTGTATATAGTTAATTTTTTTTGTTTCTTGAAATGAGAGCTTAGACTGATTAAGGTATTTCCTTTAGTATAACTCATTTATAGTATTATAAAATTGTTCTTAGTTCTGTTTTTTCTGTGTCCTACAAATTTTGATATATTTTCACTTCCATTCTGCTCAATGAATGATTGATTTGACATCCTCTTGGATCACTGCATTATTAAGAAGTGTTTATTTTCAAGTATCTGCAGATTTTCATGTTACCTTTATTTGTTCCATTGTAATTGGACAGCAAACTCTTATAATTGCACATTGAATGTGTTGAGGTTGTTTTTTTGGCCAAAAATATGATCTTTGCCAATCAGATTTTTCATTTCTGTGATAAACATCCAACAGAAACAGGATAGAGGACAGATGCATTTTGGATCAAGGATTTAGAGGTTTCAGCACATGGAAGCTGGATCTACTGATTTTAGTCCTGTACTGATGCAGAGACATCATGGAGGAAGGTGTGGTAGAGGAATGCTGCTCACCTAAGGCAGCCAAAAAGCACAGAGGAATTATAGGAAGAGGCCAGGGACATAATAAGCTCTTCAGAGACACATCCCTACTGGCCTATTTCCTCCAACGCAGCCCCATATCCACAGTTTCAAGATTTCCCAGTAGGATATTCAAATTGTGTACATGTATAAATGAAACCATTGACTTGGCTATATCTCTTCCCTCTCCCCTCAAAAGACTATCTCTGGAAACACTCCCAGACACATTCTAAGGCTGCTTTATTGATTGCTTTATTGGTCTCTCAATCCAATTAGACTGAGAATCAAAATTAACCATTTTGTGATTAATCTTTTCATTCCTGAAATAAAATCTGTTTCATTACTGATAGGAAATTTTTTGTCGTATTTTTCTTTATTTTGTTAATACTTTGTAAAGTTTAGTGATTATTTTAAAGTTTTAATGCTTTGTTTCATTGATTTTGTGTTATTTATATTTTCATTTTCATTTATAGCTATTTTATTTTAGTTTGTCTTAGTTGATCTTTGTTCCATGGGCTTTTGTAGGATGTATGCTATGGTTGCTGGGAGAATTGTCCTGTCTGTCTGTTGATGTGTTCCCAGATTCTTTGGTGTCCTTGTTGCTTTCTGTCTTGTTTTCCTTTTAGCCTTTGAGAGAAACAAAGATTTGGAAATCTCTGTAATTCTACATTGGTTTGTTTGTCTATCCCTTCCATCAGCTTTTCTTAGACTTAATTTTCAGCTTTGTTGATTGATGCATATGCATGTAGGATTGTTATGTCCTCTTAAGGCACAGACCCTATCAGCATCACTTTTTTTGTCTGGTTGTAATTTTCTTTGCATAGAAGTATATATTAATTTCAGGCTAAGGATTTCATAATACCTATTCTTCAGCATACATATGTCATTACATTAGCTCCTTTCTCTTTTATTTATTTTCTTTCTTCCCCCTTTTTTTGGGACAATACTGGGATTTGAAATAAGTTCCTTCCCACTTGCTAGCCTATGCCATTTTCTTAGAAATGACTTTCTTGGGAGCAGATATGGTTGAGTCATATTTTGGTCTAGTCTGTATTTTAATGGTCTTTTCATTGATGTATGCAGAACAATATCTGCATTATAATTATTTTTTATTTTTTTTGGGGGGGGTCCAGTAGTGGGGCCTGAACTCTGGGCCTGGGCACTGTCCCTCAGTTCGTCAGCTCAAGGCTAGCGCTCTACCACTTGAGCCACAGCGCCACTTCCAGCTTTTTTCTTTTTGCTTATGTGGTGCTGAGGAATCGAACCCAGGGCCTCAGGCATGCAAGGCAAGCACTCTACCACTGAGCCACCTTCCCAGCCCCTGTATTATAATTATTATAAATAGATATTTTCTTGAATTTCATGTGATTTTTATTGAAGACCAAGTCTTCCATTTTATTTTTTGCTGTTTCATCTCTCCATTTTTCTTCCCCTATTTTAGTTTTACTCTAACAGCCTATGGGATATTTAAGATGTCTAGAATTCAACTTACCTATAGTATTTGATTTACCTTCTCTGTAGCCTTGTCTACTCACAACACATGAGTTTGACTGAGGCTTCTGACAGAATATAGTTTAAAGTGCCCACACATAGTGCCTACAAATGAGCAAATGTCTTAACAGGTACAGGACAGAAGAGAATATATAGGCAGCCAATGATCATAAAAAAAATTAACACTTTCATACTTCAGGGAAAGCAAATCAAACCACATTTTTGAGAAACCAGAAACATCATCAAATGAGTTAGAAAAAAAGGGGAACAAACCATACCAATTTTGACAAATATATTCATCATCTGGAAATTTTCTGTGTTTCTTATGAGAGGCTAACTACCTTACGTCTTTGGGAATATTTTTTTTAATTAACCACTAAAACACTAAACACATGTGTATTCTATAACCCTGTATATCCATTTTGACGAAATTACCTAAGATAAAGAATTCACATCTATACCAAAATATAATGACTGTGTATGGTTGCTTCTCTCATGATGACACTGAAGTAAATAATCCAATACCCAAATGCCTAGTTCAAGAAGGAATGTATTAATAACTAATTGAATACTTATTCAGAGAAACTCTACACAACAATTAAAAAAAAACAAGAAAGATCCAGACACATCAGCTCAGCAATGCAATACAACTATTTGATAGGAAAACATTGAGACATGGTGGTTCAAGGTCAGCAAGGGTGTGAAAGTTTGAGACTTCATCTCACTGAAATAGTAGCAAGGTTATTGTTTCAGCTTCAGGGAAAGCATGATGTCTGGATGTAGTGGTGTGGACCTGTCATCCCTAGCAACAGAGGAACAGAGAA